CGCAGCTATTCACCACACCGCCGAGACCAGTGTTTGAAGATACACCGCTGGACACATATAAACAACCCTCGCCAATCCCCTTCCTACGTACCGCAAATCACCCACCGCCGAACATAGACTTGATGTCTACAACCACCACAATGCCCGGCCGCACCCTTCCGACGATTCCGACCGCCGAGGTGCGCGCGCACAACAACGAGAAGTCCTGCTATGTTACAATCGGCACCAAGGTCTACGATGTTACCGATTTCCTTGATGGTCATCCTGGTGGCCCCGAGTTCATCCTAGAATATGCGGGCAAAGACATCGAGGCAATCCTGAAGGACGAGATCTCACACACCCATTCCGATTCCGCATACGAGATTCTTGAGGAGAACTTGGTAGGCTTCATGGTCCCCGAAAATCTTCTGAACGGCGTAGTAAAGAGCTCGAATCCTGCAGATATTGTGCCTCTGCCATCTTCCGAGGTTGGCAAGCTGGAGCTCAAGGGCATGGAACAGGACGGCAAGCCGCTGTACGAAGCAACCGGCATGTCATCTGCGGAAGATCTTTCAAGACCGACAGACCCGAACCAGGACTACAAACAGCACAAGTTCTTGGACCTGAGCAAGCCGCTTCTGATGCAGGTCTGGAATGGTGGATTCAGCAAGGACTTTTACCTACAGCAAGTGCATCGCCCGCGCCACTACAAGGGAGGCGACTCCGCGCCGCTGTTCGGTAACTTCCTGGAGCCGCTCAGCAAGACGCCGTGGTGGGTCGTGCCATCGCTCTGGTGGCCCTGTGTCGCGTATGGAACAGCCGTTGCGTTTGGTGGACTATCCTCCGCGACGGAACTTGCTGGGTACTGGGTCTTTGGGCTGGGATTCTGGACCATTATCGAATACGTCCTGCACAGGGGCTTGTTCCATTTGGACGAGTAAGTACTCCTCATCCATATGGATCTGTCTGTACTAACATCAAGCAGCCATCTTCCGGATAACCGCGTCGCGATCACCCTCCACTTCTTGCTTCACGGTATTCACCACTACCTTCCCATGGACAGATACAGGCTCGTCATGCCACCTACACTCTTCGCTGTTTTGGCGGCACCGTTCTGGAAGTTCGCACACGCGATCATCTTCTGGAACTGGTATGCCGCTCTGGCTGCCTACTGTGGTGGTATCTTTGGCTACACCTGCTACGACATGACACATTACTTCCTCCACCACCAGAAGTATGTACACCCATAGCTTACTTTGAAAGACCTCGCTAACAAATTAAAGGCTACCTCCCTACTACCAGCAACTCAAGAAGTACCACCTTGCGCACCACTTTGCCGACTACCAAAACGGTTTCGGTGTCACCAGCCGCTTCTGGGACCGCATCTTCGGCACCGAGCTTGAGATGGGACCCTCCAAGGTCATCAAGTCCACTTGAATGGCGACGCACGAATAGACTTTTGTTATTAGACACCCACCTGTCACCACGTTGTCAAGACCGGCATTGAAGAAGGCGTTCAGCGGGTCTGCAGGGCCATTTTGGGTCGATGCAGCTTTGATGTTTGTAGATAACTTTATGACTCACTACCTCAGATAATAGTAATGCCAACAATCACTTCACTTCTGTTCACCATTCTTCAGTCACTGCTCATTTCCCGGTTGCGCTCATGGCGGCAGTCACCTCCGCACGTGACCTGCTGCCTATTAGTCACACGGACCCTGCCAAGGCCCCTCCAACTTTTCAAGTCGTTACGCCCAGGCCTGCCTCTCCACTTTCCACTCACCCACCCATTAACACGTCCTGCTGCACGAGCAAAGCTTCAATCAAGCACCCATTTGTCAAGTGCATCTCGGTCAAGAGGTCATCTGGCAAGCGCCCGCAGTGACATCTCTACGTCCGTTCGATATCGCAATTGAAATCAATACTTGAGCCCCAGCTCGCCATCACAACAACACATCGCCCATTGCAGTGACATCGCGCATCACTTCCACCAGCTACGCTTATCGAGAGCTAGGAACCGCCGCCGACGTCGACATGTCTACCCAAGCCGCAGTCGAGGCCCTCCTCGAGGAGACCGCCCGCGAGGTCGAGATGAAGGACGCTGAGCGCAAGCGCACTGCCAGCAGCGAGGCGCGCGACACCGACAGCCGCCGCGACGACCGCCACTCAGATCGCCGTGACCGCCGTGATAGGAGCCGAGACCGTGGGGACCGTCATCGTGAGTCCAATGGAGATCGCCGTCGCAGCCGCGATAGAGACCACCGCCGAAGAGACGGAAGCCGTCCCCGTTCTAGCAAAGGTGCTGACACAGATGAAGACCGTGATAGGCTCCGCCGCAGCAGCTCGCGCGACCGCCGTGGAGGTCGTGGAGGCCGTGACCGCGGAGGCGACTTCTACAGCGGTAGTGGTCGTCCGCGTTCCCGCTCCCCTCGCGACCGTGGTAACGACAGGTACCGCGAGAGGTCCCGCGACCGTCGCCGCAACGGTGGTGATGACCGTCGCAACAGCCGTCGCAACAACACCCCGCCCAAGCCAGAGGTCACCGAGGACGACCGCGACAAGCGCACCATCTTCGTCCAGCAGATCTCCCAGCGCGCTGAGATGCGTCACTTGCGCAGCTTCTTCGAGCGTGTCGGCCCTGTTGTCGAAGCTCAGATCGTCAAGGACCGTGTTACCGGCCGTAGCAAGGGGTGAGTACTCACTTGTCCATTCCTCACATATACTTGCTAACATCCCTCCAGCGTCGGCTACGTTGAGTTCGAAGCTGAAGAGTCTGTTCCTCTTGCACTGGAGCTGACTGGCCAGAAACTGAAGGGCGTCCCCATCATTGCCCAGCTTACTGAAGCCGAGAAGAACCGTGCTGCTCGTCCTTCCGAGGGCGGTGCTGCACCCGGTGCCAACGGCGCCCCCTTCCACCGTCTCTACGTCGGCAACATCCACTTCAGCGTCACCGAGAAGGATCTCCAGGAGATCTTCGAGCCTTTTGGTGAGCTTGAGCAGGTCATCCTCCAGCGCGATGAGTTGAACCCTGGCCGCTCCAAGGGATATGGTTTCGTTCAGTAAGTCGTCTGTCCATGTTCACTGCAACATCATTTGCTAATACATCACAGGTTCGTTGACCCCTCGCACGCTAAGAATGCTCTCGCAGAGATGAACGGTTTCGAGCTCGCCGGCCGCCAGATCCGCGTTGGTCTCGGCAACGACAAGTTCACCCCCGAATCGACCGCGAACCTCCTCCGTACATTTACCCAGCAAGCTCAGTCCTACCAAGGCTCTGCTTTCAGTGGTGCTGGTGGTCGTGGTGCCTATGCTGGCGGTAATGGTGGTGTCTTCGACCGTACCCATAGCAAGGATGACCGTGGTGTTAGTGGTGCCTCTGCTCTCGACGACTCTGATGTCGCTGGAGTCAACTTCAAGACCTATGACCGCAGCAGGCTCATGGACGCTCTTGCGCGCCGCGACGTTCCCGGTGACTCCAGGCAGGGCGGTCAGGCTATGCCTGTTCCCACCACTCGCAAGGCTCCCGCCCCCACCCCCGCCGCTCCCATGGCCTCCAAGTGCGTCAAGATCGAGAACGTCTTTGACCCTGACGAGTAAGTCCTCGCATCTTCTCCTAGACATTCGCTAACACATTACCAGGGAGCAGCGCAACTACGGTGACAACTGGAACAAGGAGCTCCAGCACGAGATCAAGTCCGAGTGTGACAAGAAGTACGGCAAGGTCGTTCACATTGCTGTCGACGCCAACAGCGAGGGCGACGTCTTCGTCAAGTTCGACTCCGTCTCCGGTGGTGAGAAGGCTCTCCAAGGTCTCAACGGTCGTACTTTCAACCACCGCACCATCCGCGCTTCCTACGTCGTGGACAAGATCTACAACTCCCTCTGGGGTGCTGCTGCCAGCAGGTTTTAACCGACCGGTACGTCACAACTGTCGTGGGGTGCTCGGTAGCCACTACTGCCGAGCATACCCGATCACTTATGTGTGCAGTATACCCTGATCGGTTCTTACGGTTTCTTTACGGCTCATTCTCTCGGTTTACTCTTACGGTTTCTACTCTCGGCACACTCTCACACCTCTGGTACGTACGCATGGCGTTGACGGTATGATACGACTCTTTTTCTTTCATCTGCTTGTTCTTCTTTTTGAGCGTTGCTTTTCAGGCTATGCTGGCGAAGGTGTACAACGTGCAGTGCTTGGATGGTGGAAGCTGCGTTGTCAAGATCAACATGAGGGATGAACGAACGTTCAGAGGTATGATGGATGAAGGTCTTGGTGGACACTGAAAGGATAAGGTCTCGGTGAACGACGGACATGATTGTTTAGGCGGATGATGTGCGAGAGCTTGTATATGGCGTGGAGGAGTGCTTACTTCGGTACGTTCTGTGAAAGGACTTCGGTCTTGTTCAGATCTTTCACTTGGTCTCAGGTCTCCTCACATACGATTGCTCATACGATTGCACATGCATCAACGGCATTTACCACGGAAGCGGAGGACTCATGGCTGCTAATAGCACATAGGACCAGCTCGTCTCTTCCTGTCTTCCTGGATGACTTGTCTGCCAATAATCATGTGTTTAGATACTCTCTTGGATTTCTCCCTCGTTGCCATGGCCTTTTGATGTGGAGAGTGTCGGATGTGGATTGGTTCCATGAGGCTGTGGCTGTGGTTGTGGTTTGACCCTTCTCCGCTGCTGACCATGTCGTTGCCTGACGTCGTGATAGGTTTCGATTGTTTATTCTCTTGTGGCTAACTAGGCTTCGCAAATCGACGTCTTCCTTCTTCGCGCAATTACTCGGTCGTGACCTGCAGTCAGCGCTTGTCCGAGATAAGCGAGTTCCGTGTGCTCGCCCGCTTCCGGTGGAGCCGTTGCGGTTACCAATACATCACGCATCCCAGGCTTTGTTCGTTATTGCCTGACTGTCATTGAGTTCCGCTATCTCATTATCTGCTACACCCACCTCGACGAGTTGGCTGTCATGTCGATGTGTCTGCACAGCGTTGTGTCATCCGCGCGTTCATTCATCCCAGAATGATCTCCTTCCACTCGTCCTCTGAGAGTGCGAACGCCGCTTTGAAGACTTTGCCAAGAGCTACACGACGATATATACCTTCTTCGGGATATGGCTCCACTAAGAGCACAAAGTACAGATCCCATTCCGAATCAACTCTCTCCTTTGGCAGGTAATACGTCCACACCGGAAATTCTTGCTGGTTGAAGGATTTGGCGTCGGAAATCGCGATGAACTCGAACGCAGTCTGGCCAGTGGCTTCGTACTTTTCCAGCCAATTCCTATTGACGACGACAGAACCGCACTTGTCGCCACGCCGGTCTGTGATATGACATCGAGCTCTCGTTTCCCCAAGATCGTCTCCTTCGACATCGACTTCTGTTGAGCGTACCACGTGAAACGAAGCCCGCCAGGTAAAGAATTGTAGGAACGGTTGGTCGGGAAACTCTTTGAGGCCACCGACAGCTTGACTGGATGCCGTTGTTCGTACGTGATATGGATCTTCAGGTAGGGTAAGTCTGAACTTCAAGTTTTGTGTGTAACCTTTCCGGTCTATTGTGTCCCAAGTCAGTGGCCGACCATATCTGTCATAACCAGCACGAGCATCGTCCTCGTCCGGAAGGTCTGGAACGTGATAATTGAACGGGTTCCTAGACTTTAGGCCTTTTTTACTAAGACTGTTTGCCTTCCGACGATCCTCCATGGTCCTTCTGTCCCCCTGCCTGGCAGCTTCTCTCTGACTGGCGTCAGTGAGGTAAACGCTTCCATCTTCGCTCGCGTCGTGGTCAGAGGGACTATATGGATCCGCCCTTGAGGGTCGTACGAATGCCGTGTAACCCGTCCATTTGTCGTCAGTGCTCTGATCCTTGACGGCGTATCCTCTATCCCAGAGGCGACGTAGTGTTCCATGGCCATCCCTTATATGCCAATCGATCCATGTATGATCTACCAGCCAAGCATGGACATTAGAGAGACACCCATCGACCATCTGTGGCTTGTATTGGATACCATCACTCTTCCATCCACACCACGACCAACTGGGGAACTTGATGTCTTTGTACTTTGGCTCTACCGACGCCTTCTCGTAGTTCAGCAGGGTTAGAAGGTCAACAGGCTCCCACAGGAGGGCAAAATCAAGATGTGATGTCGGGAGCCCGAAAACAAAGGGCGCGTTCATCGTACCCTCCATCAAATTACACATTCCACTAAATGCTGCCAGGATATCGAGCGGTTCGAACAGCTCGCGCAATGTGTAGAGATATACACAATGGGCATAGAACCACACACTGCGTTGCTTGAGCTCCGTGAGCATCTGAAGCGGCGCTTGCACCAAGTCGAGCGACCATCCTCGGCCTTCGCCATCCGCGAAGATATCTTCCGACATGCCCGTGGAGCGGCACTGGAAGTAGATCTGTCCTCTGGTGAAGATTAAGCAGCGCTTGGAGAGCAGTCGCTCTTGGAACGTCCAAGCGCGCGTGTTCCACTTTGACGTCTGGATACTGATCTCAGATGGCTGATGCAATATTAAGTGCACGCCATCAGCATAAACGCCAATCTGCTGCTGTGGACGCTGACCTTCGTCAAGGGCCAGCAAACCAGTCCGTGAATCACCGTCCGCAGCGCAAATCGTCAGCGTCGCATTGCCGTATATGAGATGCATGGCCCGCGAGTTAAGGCTCCACGAGTGGCTGCTGTCCTGCACAATACACAGCGCATCAATCCAAGCGTATCTTATACCCAAGTCATGGACCAGCCGAATGCTCTGCACAAGCGCTTTTGGCAGCTTGCGAATTGTAGCAGCCAGACCACCAGATTTCCGCCGACTTTGTATGTTACTGATCTTCGTTCGATAGTCCATCCTACCTGTGTCGCCCCAAACATAGCTCACAGCGGCATAAGGCTCGAATTCCAGGCGCTCCATCGTACCCTCGAATGGCAAGGGAACAAGCCGGTCATTCTCGATGTCAATGACGCCGAAATAGGGCTCCATCAACGTTTCCATGAAAGGGTTCTCGATGCCAATCTGCTCGGTACAGCGACGATCGTGGCTATTCTCGCATAGACGTAAGAACTCGCGGATGAGGTTCTTCTTGTTCTCCGTTGCACCGAAGCGACGCCCGAGGAATTGTGTTTCCCTGTTCAGCTGCTTGGGATAATCCAGATCAGAATTGGCGTACTTCATCGGTGCTGCTAAGACCAAGTAAGACTCGAAGGCTTTGAGCAACGCATCACTCCATGTAACCCTCAGTCGACGGGTTCGCCTCTCTCGCAGTGCGCGTCTGGGGTCGACAGACAAGCGACCGTCCATCTCCCACGTCAGATGGCAGACTGCCTTGGTAGCATCGACATCCTTCAAGACATCCTTTGCGATGGAGTTTATTATGAGACGGCAGAGAGGGCAAGTTTCTGCTCTCTCAGTGATGGTGTCAAGAGTTCCGAGTCGAAATCGTTCGTTGGCTAGTCGCAACGAATCTAGTGACGGGCGAATCTCTGCTGACTTGTCGTCTTCAATCACGAACTTCTCAATGTTGAGATTGAGTGATGCGCACTCCTTGCATGGTCGCTCAACTCTGTCCATAACCACGCCGTTCTCGATAGGCTGACTCGGCATCGTCCCTTCCATTGGCGATTCAGAGTCATTCGTCATCGGACAGTTGAAGCCCTGGAGGCTTAGGGGTTTCGCGTCTTTTAGCCCGACTCTGGGATTTGCTTCCAGGGCTACCTTCAAGATTAGCACAAGAAATCCATCGCTAATCCTTCGGAATCTGCAGCTCGATAAAACGAGCCTAGTATCGCTACTTACTTTCGCAGCTCTCAGGTTCAGGCTCCCGCATTGAATGTCTACGCCCAGCTTTTGAACGCAGCCCGGCACGGCTCGCAATAGAGCAGCTGAACCGCTGTCACTCAGCTTCCGCCCTCAAAGCTTGTTTTCCCAGCCGCATAGCCTCCACAATTCGGCTGGCCAGACCAGTCATAGTGAACAAGACATATATTATAGCGCCGTAAAATTAGGCGAACAACCCCCAAACAAGAGAAAGTAGAGGGAGGGTAGTCTTGCAGCATGCGTCGCTTATTGAAATAGTGGATACATGTCCTGTACAATTGGACCACGTTCGTTTTCAGGAGGGTTCAGCCGCACCCGTCCGCATCAGCAGGAAAACATGCATATTGAACATGTACCCAGGTTGTGACGAAGTACAGTATGCATGACAATTCTTTAGCCACCTTCCTCTTCCAGATGAGTCGATCTCTTTACAAGTTAGACTGCGGCAGCGCGCGCACCAACATCACCGATGTCAGCTGGAGCACGAACCCTCACAGACCTTCATGCTGCCAATCTCTCGATATCTTGTCTAATATTTACTCCGCTTCTTGCTTTCCTCTACAGCGGTATTGCGGGAACTACCTCCACTCATGCAGCTTCGCTCGCTTAACATTCATCACCCAACACCCATGGATATTTATGTAAAAATGATCCGTTCTTTCACATACGACCATAGGATCATGAAAATTAGGCTTCCCGTCCGCTTAGCCATATACAAGCATGATACCGGCGGATTAGTAGTTAGGTGGGTGACCACTAGCGAATCCCCGCTGTTGTATGTTTTTGGAGTTCTTTTTGCCCATCTCTGGGGCAGGCAGGTGGGCCGACGGCGAGAACAAGTTTAACCAGGTTGACACAACAGAAGACATGCCCCCGTCTACAATCTTGACACACCCTCCATAAGATCATCAACTGCGCTGTCTTGTGCAGTCGCGATTTTTGCGTCCAAAAGCTGCTCAGCTAAGTCGTCCATCTCTGCATCTTCATCGGGCGTGATCATGTTCTGCTCCTCAACTTCAATCTCTTGGCGTACATCTCTTGTATCCCAAACCGTAACCAATGTGTTTCTTCTTTGCGTCAAAGCCTTGAACCCCTCAAGGTACTTGATGCGGAAGATACCTGCTTTATCTTCTGCTTCACATACCCTACCTCCTCTCTCTACTGCTTCTAGCACCGCTTCGTACGTCCAGAGCTGCACGTTCGTCTCTACGTCGTCCGTCACCTTCTGCGAGGCCGCTGGGTTCTTCTGATGGTCCTCGAAATATCGCGGGTACTGGCTGCGTATGCGATCTTCGATGCAGACGGGGCAGATGAATGGATGCTGATGCAGGTTTTCTTGTCGCTTGAGCCAAGCTAAGGGGAGTTGAGGCTTCGCGGAGTAGATACTGCGCGTGCAGTTTGATGAGCATGGCGACTTTGGGACAGGGAAGCACATCGGTGTGGGAGGCGAGGACGGCGGCTTGATGATGTGCTCGCAGTCTAGAGTGTGGAGAGGGGTGGACGGGTCATCGCAACAGTTCTGAGGCGGCGGCTTGGTGAGCGCCATAGCGGAGTGCGGTATGGGTTGGTTGGACAAGTCGCGGGCGGGAAGAATAAGGGGTTGAGTGTAAGTGAAATGGTAGGTTGTAGTAATGAGATTGTGAAGACATGATGTGGACGGACATATGGTAGAAATGTCAAAGTGTAAGTGAGATTACAGCTGTTTGAGGGCTGGCTTATCCCCGACATACAATGACCACCTTCATTGAAGGTGCAGTGCATCCGCTATCGTCGTATCCCCCTTGGCTACCGGAGCCCCAAGCCCTTCTTTCTTACCAGGCAGAGCTCCCTCCAGCCATCGCTTGTGCTTTACATCCTTATAGCCCACAACCCTAAACACTATCTCCCTCCCCATTGTCCGTTTCGCTTTTACATACATCCCTGTGCTCACTTCCTGGAGTAAGTGGCCACTTTTCCGTACCGTGCCTGGATCCTCACAGCGCACATTGAATACAACGCGCTCGATTGAATGTCGCTCGGGAATACTACGGAATGCGTCGCGCCAGCTTTGGATGAAGGGAGTCATCAATGGGCCGTAGGTGTCACCGTCGTTTAGAAGACCATCGGAGGAGACGAGCGGAGATATCCCGATTTGCAGCACTCTGATTGCAGTGACGGGAAGTGAGAAGCAGTCGTCGGCGGACTTGCGTGAAGACTGCGGCTTGAGGATGCGGATGTCGGCGTCTGATGTGGCTAGCTTTTTGCCTAGGACTGAGAGGGTTTCGGGATCGTTGATGGTAACGAGCAGATATGGCGGGTTGCCAGGCATGGTTTCTTCGTAGATATCTGGACATTCTGACGATGCGGTGAGGGTGTCGGGATGCTCGGTATCTGTTCTCAGCTCTAGAGCGACTGGCATCGCGAAACGTGGATTGTTCTGTGGATCGTCAAGGAAAAAGGATGCGCAGAGGAGTGAATGTCGATGTTGATGTCGAGGCTCATGACGTTTCGCCTCCGCGCGATGTTGACGATTTAGGCAACCACCAAGGCAGCCAATAGGCGTGGCTGTTTTCCATGCAACTGGGAATACTTTATTGTGTTTTCTGACATTACTCTGCCTGACTCTTCGAGCTATTGGTCTCTAGTGCCGATACATCCGAATGTTGCCAAGACAAGACAAAGTCCCGCAGTCGCTCACTTCCTGCAAGTGTCGGTCATCTCGTGGAACGCATGCTTGTTAGGTCGCAAAGCAAGCAGGCACGACCGGCAATCAGTATGAAGTAGAGGTAGCAAGCTGACGTCATTCCTTAATCACTCGTCAGTCGCGCCTACCTCAGTCTCACGATCCCTCCGCCAAATCCATGGTTGGGTCAATATATACTACACCACCATTTGAATCCACGTCACGAGATTTTCCGACGACGCTATAACACCCTCGCTATTTGCTGCGTACGCGACGCGCATTCTGAAGTCATGGGCGAGGTGAAGACTGCGCGGTTGCTATTGTGCGCGACTTGCCCTTCACTAACTACGGCCGCGTGAGTATCGCCAATTCGAGAGCTCACCCTCACTTCTTGGCGGTGAATTCTGAGTATTCAATCCTATTGTCGCGAGACCGACTCTTCTCTTTCGACTCACTCTGCCTCGCCTGACCTACAGTCCAAGCTACCGACCACCTACCTACCGCACAATCCAGATCGCGCTTGCCGCCCACATCATCGTGTATCCCAACGTGTTCTCGTCTCTAGCACTCATGTCGTCGTCTGTCGCCAGACAATTCGGCAACATGCTCAACACTCGGTGGTCGGTCCCAGGCCAAGCAGCCGCGCCGTCGCCATCCACCAAGCAGAAGACCGACTCCAAGCAGAAGACAGACGCCATACACGAGAAAGTCACCTACCCACGCGTCTTAGGATCACGGGACGCGGACTCATGCAACAACGCATCCATGTCCTACGAGCACCTCCTCGCATGCGGCCACCTCATCACCACACCCACGCCCGACGAGCGATGCGCACCCAATTGCTACTGTGTCGAGCACAGATCGCACAAGATCAACGGAGATGAGAAGAAGAAGGCGAAGATGCTGCTGTTCTACTGCGACGCGTGCGTAGAGGAGGAGAACGAGAAGCTGGTGGCTGATACTTTGACGTCAGCGGGGGCAGGTATGTTCACTTACTGGCAGTAACGCCCGCGATGACGCTGACCACCTGACAGAGAACCTGCGTCGCACCCTACGCGAAAAAGAAGCCACCAAGCGCGAGAAGCAGATCAAGTTCCGCAAATGCTATATCGCACTCAAGATCACATCCGTGCCTTGCCACACCGACGGCGCACTACGCAAGAGTTATACGCCGCGCAAAGAGCATCACCCCTTCGATATTTCGATCCCTCGAGTAGGCGACAATTTCTTCGAAGACATCCTAGTGAACCCGGTGAAGAATTCGAAGGCGCCTGGCAACACTGTCGCGACCGCGCCCGTAGAAGCAAACCAGCCCGTCGTCGGCAGTAGCCCAGCCAGCCTCGGCGAAGCCGGCGCAAACTACCTGCGATACACGGCAGCGCAATCTGCAGCACCCAAGGTCCTCAAAGCCAAGGCGAGTGCCCCCAACGCTAAGAAGACCGCGTCGCTGTCTGCTCCCCGCGAGGCCGCTGCAGCATCACCAGTAGTACCGAGCTCCGCTTTCGCGCAGAAGACATCTCCAAAGCAGTCGCGCAAGAGGCCCATCGTCATCGACGACGATGAGGAATACGTTGACGTGCCAGAGAAAGAAACAGAGGTTGTCAAGAGGACCAGGAAACGACAAAAGGCTACTTCGTTGCCGTTGTCACTGCCAGCTACCCCGAAGAGGAAGCCAGGGCGTCCAAAGGGAAGCGGTCGCAAGAAGGTGTGAGGGGTTGACGGATACAGGTGGTGCGGAATCGTGAGGATGTGGAGGTGATGACGAGGTTGGAGATTACAAGGACGGGGTGGATGCTGCTATGCGATGCCTGGATACTGTCGTATTTGTCGGGCTGGTATTGTGGTTAGGGTATATACTGAATGGAACATGTCGTTGATCATGCTTCTGATGAGGATGTGATGAAGAAGGATGGCAGATGGCCATGGTGTGCGATGTTGCTTTCACCCCACTTGGCCTGCTGACTAATCTGCATCCTGCCATCTCGCCACCCGTTCTCTCCACAACGTACCAAATACATGATTTATGTATACGACATGTCTTATGTTAACGTTCATTAACGTAAGTTACATGGTCTATTTCCATGCTCTACTACATCCAATTCCACCCCATCAAACACCTCCCCATATCGCAATTTCCTACCCCCCTTCATCCAAAAACCACTCACAATACGCTAGATAGATACAGTCCAGACAGTACACAGCATACAACGCCTGAGATCAAGATTACCGCGATCTCTATGTTCGACATTTCGTCTACGCTGTGAATCCTGATATCCTGCCGCCTATCATCTCTTTGTGAAGGGACACCGCGTTCTAGATCAATCGCATTGCGCTTTTGCTGGTCGTATGTGTTAGGGCGGATGATTCAGTCGGACATGGTGTTGGTGTCGGTTGTTGTTTCGCGAGCAACTGTTGAAAAGGTTGCAGGGGTTGATAGGTTGTAGGCGTACTGTTATTTAGAGCTCGTAATATTATGGGTGGCACAGGGGATATGGTGAATGAGTGAGACAAGCATATGGAGCAGCCGGGCGCTGGTCAGTGAATGTGCAATGCACTGTTTGGCTGAAATATGGTGTGAATGAAGGGCATGTGGCGCTGCAAACCACTTAAGCAGTATTTGATCGGATGGATTTGGGAAACAGCCTGCCCCCGCCCCATACCGCGATCTCCAATCCCCTCACCCACCAACCACTCACAACACACCAGTACCATAAAGTATAGACAACGCAAAACACACAACGCTCACGACCAAAAGTACCGCGATGGTCGTGTTCACCCATTCACCCTGCCTGTACATTCCAGTATACCGCCGTCCACGTCCATCATTTCCGTGCGAGGAGAAACCGCGTTCTAGATCAGGCATAGTGTGGTCTTGCTGGCCGTGCGGATTGGAGTTGGGATTGATGAATAAGCCGGCGAGGAGGTGGTCGGCGGCTGTGGAGTTGGGGGTAGGGGTTGAAGGCACGGTTGAAGTAGATGTGGAGGTATCGTTGTTTGGGGCAAGTGTTGAGGGGGTTGATAGATTGGTTGTAGGAGTACTGTTGTCTGGGTTTAGTAAAATTATGGGTGGCATCGCTGTTACTGTGGATCTGAGTGTATTGGATCTGAGCGAGGTAAGTGTAAGAATAGTCCGGGCGCTATATAAGTGAATGTGCAACGGGTTTGTTTGCTGCCTGGGTGGATGGATGGAAGAAATGTGGTTCTATGAGTCTGTTCTAGACTACTTGGTCGAGAGTCGTGGAACTGCCGACATGCTTCCATAGACAGCTGCATGGCTCTCACCATGCATCATTCCTCAGCGCCAGACTCTTCGATGTCGTCCACATATTGTCGAGTCGCAGTGGCGAAGGCCCCCTAAGCAGCATATACCACTTTAGATCTTTTGACGGAACGTAGGGTATGGTTTTCAACGCCGATGAGTCGCGGACGTACTGAGAATATTCCCGGACAGTCGCTGCAGCCTCCATCTCACTACCGACGACCCAGACCTTGTCAAACCCACCTATAATCGTATTTGCAACGACGATAAGACCGCCCACTTCGATTGACAGGAGGCGATTTTCCAAGGTTTCTGTAAAGACATCCAATGAATTCTCAAGAAAGACAACATTCTCTAACCGAAGTCTGATTGATAGTCGAAGTAACTTCTGGACTGCGATCCGGTTCAACTTCACATTGACGAGACTCAACGTGTCGAGACTGGAGGTCCAGATCGGACAAAGAAGCTGGGACCATCCCGACACTAGTCCTATCTGAGGCATGGACATGTGGAGCGCGTTGTTTTCTGCGAGCGATCTTCCCGAAAAGGTCAGATGCCGTAAATTTGGACAGCGCAAGGTGTTGGGCATGATGAAAGTGTCGTTGGCCAGTCTAATCTTCAACGAGTCGCTGCTATACGCATCAGACTTGTCGCCACTGTCAAATATGTATTCCAGTGTAGTGAGATGAGAGAGTACCATGTCTCCGGTCGGAAAACCGACGAAGCCAAGTGTGTTGAAGTTGATGGAGGCTTTCCAAAGTCGCTGGCCTTGGCGGTGATCTATGTGTCTAAGCAACGCGTAGAAGATGTTCATGGAGTGTCTGCTTTGAGATTTCGCGCAGGTGTACCGTAGCGGATAATTTTGAGCGAGGCTAAATGAAGGGAGAACAATGTTGCCTGTATTAATTCCGTACAGCTCTTGATAGGGGGCCTGATCCGTGAGACGCAAGTTGTTAGTATCCCTGAGTGGTGTATGCTTCGTGTACGCTCTATCCACGGAAAGTGGAAGCATGCTGCGGGTTGGACGATAGCAAACTGATTCCAACTTGATGAACTTGTCCATCCAACCTAGGCTGTTATCTTCCAACCATGTAGACCAAAGATAGGGATCCGTCATCCGGTTGTGTTGACAAGGGCGGTGGAACTCGCGGTCACGATAGCTTAGGCCTGCCCTCTCGAATTCTGCAACCTCCAGCCGTCGTGGCGCCGCATCTTTGTACACTATAGCCCTTACGAGTTTCGCTCGAGCAGGATCGTCAGCGATGCCTTTGAGTATGGCGATGCTCTTTAGATCTGGCGCAAAGCACACAGTGCGATAGAGATACTTCTTAAACCCCGGTTCGTTGCATCCTTTACAGGTCAAGAGGAAGCTCAGCACGTCGTTGTAGCTTTCGTTGTTGTTGCAAACAACATGGTCCAGTACAACGTCGAGAACCTCGTTGGGGAGTGGGAACTGGCTGCGCAATGGCGCTGACGG